ATGTGATATTATTATTTCATCACATATGATACATATGTTATATTAAATCAGAGACACATGCTACTTTTGGCGAGATATTGGTTGCGGGTCAAGTCGTCCTTACACCACTAAGCCCCTGCATGTATTATCACATGTGATAAGGATGTTTTTGATGTGATACTATAATCCATCAAGACCTTCACATGTGATGTTGAATCATAGACGCGAACGACCTTTGGCGCAACCTAAGTCGTAGAACACGTCGTCCGCACACCACCAGGTTCCCCCACGTGTATTATCACATGTGATAAGGATGTTCTTTCATTCTCGTAAAATGAAGTTGTTCTCGTTTGAATATATAATAGAAGAAGGGCAAAATAATAAAAATATTTTTTGATGTTCATGAAATGCATCATCCCAATGCAGAAACCCTAAAATCCATGCATGCAATTAATGAAGTCTAGAATTCTCGGTTGCTTTGATCCCAAGTGATCACAACCGTTGTATGTATCGTTAGATAGTAATAACCCCCCATAAAACACTATTTTATTTGTGGTCTCCGTTACACAATCAATAATGCTTTTGTATATAGAAGATGTGCCACATAATATAATTACACTATTTAATTTCTCTCTTTTATCGGGTGGGAGATAAATGATTAAAACGTCAATTGTTTCACGGATATATATATATATATATATATATAGAGAGAGAGAGAGAGAGAGAGAGAGAGAGAGGGAGAGGGTCAGTTTGAAGGAAAAGCCCTAAAAAAATAAAAACTAAGGAACACCTATTTAACCGTTCATTTAGACGGTATGCACATATACATACTTATAATTTTAAATAATTTATAAAAACCAAGAAACAGTTTCAATTACCAACATACACATATACATACCGTTCAAATAAACAGTTACCAAAGATTTTTTAAACCTCCATTAATATATATATATATATAACCATTAATGGTTGCCTATGTTTCACATAACATAAGATGAAGTAATTAGGGTGTGCGTATCCACATGGATGAAAGGGACAAAACTGGACCAATGTTATAGGTTGATAGGGGAATAATATGAGCCATGTTCCCTTCATTCTTCTATCACTACAACTTACCATTAATTACACCCATAGGAATGGGAATGGGAATGGGAATGGGAATGGGAATGGGAATGGGAATAGGAATAGGAATAGGAATTAATAAGATTGGCTATATTTATATATATTTTCTGTAACAATTTTTACTAACCATATCAGATATTGTTCGTTTTGTTCACCTAAAATATGTTTGATAAATAAAGTATCAAGTTCCTTGTAAACCTAACATAGGATCTTACATTTTGCTTCACCATTACGTACAATTGCAGATATATGAATATTTATAATTCTACTTTTAAAAGCTCAAGCAATTACTATGTCTCCAAAAAACCATGAATAAAATGGTGCCACTTGATTATATTTGCCTTTGGATAAGCTTTGCATATATATATATATATACATATTATATATGTAATTATTAATGTATACAATACATGGGTTGGGTTCATATGAAACCAACCTGTTTTCGTTAGATCACTTTTTTACACTTGAAATTTCACAGCAAAACGAGATGAAAGTAAAAAAAAAAAAAAAACGAACCGTCACAACAAAAGCACTGTGAAGGTTACCTTCACAGCTTTTTGTTGTAAAGTTTTACAAATGATCTCATGAAAACAGACTGATCTCATGTGATCCAAAGTTTACAGTACATTTCAATGATGGATGGTTTAATTTGGTTTATTATCACAATTAATTAACGACGTAAATTACTTAGATATGTGATGTGGAATTCAGCATGGGTACCTAGTCTTTGTTTATAATTAAGATTATATATTAATTAGTAGAAGTAGGGTTTTTTTAATTCAAACACTTGCATGGCTTCTTTAAATGAGATTAGTAGGCATGATTAAGGGTTAATTATAAATTATGTGGATTTGTGACCATTAATACAAGCATACATAAGCACGTTTTTCAATACATTATGTGTTGATACAACCTAATTAATTCACATCAGTTCACATATTAACATGTAGTTCATATATGATCGAACCCTTTTGCCACCTTTTTGTAAAAGATTATGAAACTACCTTCTCTATTTTTCGTATAACCGTAATTTTTGACCAGTCAAATCCGATTTTGACCATATAAGGGGCTATGATCACTTCTTTACTTTCAAATATTTATCACTTCTCAAAATAACCTTTGGCTATGCACTGCATGCAGGTCATTTTTAAGCAATGTGTCTAGTATGCACATATGCATAACATTCACACGAGCATAAAAACCAAAAAACATGTTTAGTTACTTGTATGCACATATACATACCGTCTAGATAAATAAAGTTGCATCTATATAAACATAAACATAAACATGGAAATTAAAGCATGCAGAGAAGAATTGATGAAGTTGAATACATATTGTAGGATGGACCAAATAATTGTGAAGAAAATAGAAGCAGCAGTTGGGTTTTTTATTTGCTTGATGGACCAAATAATGAATCCCACTTCTTTGTTTCCATTTTATATGTCTTGTCTCACTCCCACCTTTCCATTCTTTTTACATTAATTATTATCAGTAACTAGCAGCCATCTTTTAACTTATTAACATATTCCATACATACATACATATGGTTGGATTCACATGAGACAAAACTGTTTTCATAAGATACAAGTTTTACGTTTGAAATTTCACAACAAAATGTTGTGAAAGTAAAAAAAAAAAAGTCGAATTTTCACAGTAAATGTAAAGTTTTAAGTGTAGAAATTGTGTCTCCCACGAAAAATAATCTTGTCTCATATGATATTTTTATATATATAAAAATTAATATGAATAATAATAATAATAATAATAAAGGAAGTTTAAAAAGTCAGCGTAAGAGTTGATCAAAAGAATTGCTTTATAGAGTAGCTAGAAAATAATATTGAATTTGAATATAGATAAAATGGTTGGTAGGCAATTGAATTTGGGACCCTTGATTTATGGGTTTTAATTTTCTTAATTATTTTATTAATTTAAAAAGAAATTAACCAAGATCATGATGTTGTTTAGATTGAAAAAAGCATACATACATCACTATACTTAACACAATATCTTAATTATAAATATATATAATTAATTAATTAACTAAACTTAATCATTCATGTGTATAATTAGCTACTAAGATAACCAATTAAGTCATGTATGATTGTTGATATCATACATATACACACACATATACATATATATATATATATATATAGGGTTCGGCTTCTTTTTGCCTTCACAGAGTTTTGCTGTGAAGTTTCAAGTGTAAAAATGTTGTTTCGCGTGTCTCACGAAAACAGTTTGGTTTCACGTGAACCCAACTCTCTCTCTCTTTATATATATATATATATATATATATATATTTATTTATTTATTTAATGTATGTAAAAATATTAAAATAATATAATTAATTAATTAAAGAAAGAATTGTGCTATATTCATTATGTTTCAATCACTTTTAACCCAAGATATTATGGTTGGTAACTTTGTTAAAGTTATCCTCTTTTAATTTTTTAATAACTGTAAACAAACAAACAAACCAATTTTATATATTAATCCCATTTTTCTTTTTTAATTAAATTCCATTTTTTTTATAAATTAATTATTACAAGGGGGATGGGTTTCCGGCGGGAAAGAGGATGAGCGGCCGGCCGGCCGGAGATGGGTGGATATGAAAATCCGGCGTCAATCTTGAGCCTGATTTTTGGTTGCATGTGAAACCCATTAATGTGTAGATTTTGTGTTCCCCACCCGACCCGACTTGACTTAATTCACAGTCCAACTTTATCCTCTACTAAGCCCTACCTATTCACCTTTCTAGGGATCAATATCTATATATATAAAATATATGCCTATAATCATAGCTTCATTTTTCAAAAGTGGTAATTACTTATGTACCCTTAAGATTCCCGGTTTTAACTTTGAAGTATCGGACGATTTCTTGTATGGTATGCGAAAGATAGAAGGGTAGTTTCGTAAGTTTTACAAATAAGCGGTAAAACAAGTTCATATATGAGACCCGTATGATTCACATATGAACTATTTAACTGATTCACATATAAACCCGTGTGATTCACGTGTGCACTTGTTTGTCGTTTATTTATAAAATTTACGAAATTATCCTTCTTTTTTTCGTTTGACCAGTCAAAGATGCAAATATTAATGTTTAAATACCCGATAAGTGTTTACCAAATAATTTATCTTACTAAATGAAAATGACAAAGATCAAATAAAGTTGGAACCGTAAATGAGGATCGTGACTCTTGGGGGCCAATTTACCAAACACTTATCCGGTAAGCATTTGCTGGTAAAATTCAACACTTATTCGATAAGATCTTGGTCCACCAAAACGGTGTTGTATGCAACAATTTACCTGTTAAAGCGTTAACCGTAGTAAGAGTCATCGCCCTCACTTACCGGGTAAAACTCTTGGTCCTTACCATTTTCATCCTATAAAGTAATGTGTCTTAATAAATGTTTACTCAGATAAACGTTTAGTAACGACCCCTTACCTAATATATGAATTATTACATTCAATACCATTTTGATGGATTACAATCTTAATCGATAAACTACCCCTGACCCTCAATTTTAATTTTAATTTTAATTTTCACTTAAATTTACATCCATACATGTATTCATATATATCGTTAATTAATTGTGGTTGTTGTCCTGGTCAAGACCACATTAGTTTTTACCAAATCAAATTAATAAATTATAAAGAATTAGTTATTTCCATAACTACCCTCGTCCATCCTTGTCCTTTTCTGGGTGTGGCTCTATATATATATATATATATATATATATATATATATATATATATATATATATATACAGACACAATCCTTGTAGTTACTTCCAAACAGACAGACATATATATATATACATACATACATCTATATCTATATCTATATCTATAGATACAGAGCGATTGTATCTATCAGAATCAAGCATTATCAATGGCTCCTCCTTCTAGTGACATGAATAATGTTGTGATTTCATCAAACATTAAACTTGAAAGGCTTCTCAGCATGAAAGGTGGCAAAGGTGAAGCCAGTTATGCAAATAATTCTCAAGCTCAGGTATCATCTTCATCTTCAACATCTTCATTTTTCATCTGATTAACCTGGATATCCAACCCGTTGTGCAAACCGACTAATTCTAAGACGACCACCTGCTTTGCGGGTAGCCCAAAATCATCTATTTGGATTTGAAACTGAGACCTTTAGACACTTTTGACGTTTGGAGACCAAGCTCAAATCAATCAGACACCATCGTTATGGTTTCAATTTCTTGATTTATTTGCAGAAAAATAGTTATGGTGATCCTCTTTATTTGCCTTTTTTCATGCCCATTTTGAACCCCAATTTGCTCTCTCTTTTTGCCATTAATTTTTTTTTTATAAAAAGAAAGAGTAAATTTTGGTTATAAAATTCTATTAAAAAAACTTTTCTTGATAGTATCCAATCGAATCCAATGATACATTTAATTAAATAAAACGGTGAAACAGTAGTAGCAACAGATACAATTCTAAATCAACAAGGCCAAAATGTAAAGACACCATAGGGTGTTTCAGAGACGAACCCAATAATTTTTTCATACAGTGGCACGTTCTAAAATGGTTGCATCTTCTAAAACAATACGGTTGCACCTTTCACGAATCTAGTTTTTTTAGCTTACGACGGAAGTACAATATGGTGGCACGTGACACTGAAGCCACTTAACTGGTCCGTTTAAGGGTTGTTTGGGATTGCTAATAAAAATAATTTATTGACTTATTCCGGTGTGACACCGGTAATAAACATTTTTAAGTGTTTGGATAAATAACTTATACCGGTACCAAACCGGTAATAAGAAGTTTTTGAAAAAGTTAAACTCTTATGACTTAATCTGATTTTCTACAAATGAAAATAAACATATTATAGGTTTACATACTCTTTAGCAGTATCATTTTCTGTGATGATGGATCATGGTGCATGCATGCAGGCAAAACACGCTAGATCAATGTTGCATCTTTTAAAGGAAACCCTAGACGGTGTTCAGTTAAACTCGCCGGAGACACCGTTTGTGGTGGCGGATCTCGGCTGTTCAAGCGGAAGCAACACCATTTTCATCGTCAACGTCATTATCGATCACATCACCAAGCGTTACCAGACCTCTGGCGACCACTCCGATCTGCCGGAATTTTCCGCTTTCTTCGCCGACCTCCCTTCCAACGACTTCAACACTCTCTTTCAACTCCTCCCACCGCTAGCCAACCAAGACGTCGGAACCATGGAAGAATGCCTTGCTTCCACCGGCCACCGTCCTTTCTTTGCCGCCGGTGTCCCTGGGTCTTTCTACCGGCGATTGTTTCCGGCGAAATCGGTTGATGTTTTTTACTCGGCGTTCTCTCTGCATTGGCTATCTCAGGTGCCGGAGATTGTGGTGGATAGTTCGTCGGAAACTTATAACAAAGGGAAGATTTTCATTCACGGTGCAAAGAAAAGCACTGCAAATGCTTACAGGAAGCAATTTCAGGCGGATCTGGCCGGATTTTTGAAAATGAGATCGAAGGAGATGAAGAAAGGTGGGTCCATGTTCATTGCTTTGTTGGGTCGGACCTCCGAGGACCCAACAGACCAAGGTGGGGCCGGGTTACTTTTCGGGACCCATTTTCAGGATGCATGGGATGATCTTGTCCAAGAGGTAATCATTCCGAACCATAATAAAATTGGGTTTTTAATATATTGTTTTACGTTATATTTAAAATGGGATAACGTGAAACCATTTTATTTTCGTGGGATTCGTGAGACCATTCTATTACAGTAAAACGATGTGAAGGTAATATTTACAGTGTTTTTACTGTAAAGGTTTGGAATTTGAAATTTCAAGTGTAAAAAAATAGTCTCACGGTTTCAGGAAAACATGTTGTTCTCACGTAAACTCAATTATATATATACATATATGTGTGTGTGTATATATATATATATATATATATATATATGTTTGTAGGATGTTTTTAGACGTAGTAAGTTTTTTAGGTCATTAAGAGGCAGTCTCTGAATCGTTAAGATGTGAATCTTGTTTGGCAAAAAAAAAAATCTGCCCCTTAATGGTTCTAAAACCCTGTGAATGATTTTGTATCATAAGTCTCTCTTAACCATTTAGCACCCTAATTTCATTGTAAACAATTATCAAACAATTATATTTCATTTTGCACTATATCATGAGAGCCTCTTAATCATTCTGACCACTTAATCATTCAGCACCAAATCATTCAGCAACAGTCAAACAACTTAATTTCTATAATATCATGCGTCAATAACTTTGTCACATCAGTTTTCTTTTTCAAACTCATCTCATAAACCTACAAACCGAATTCAACGCAGGGACTTATCACGAGCGAGAAAAGAGACGATTTCAACATCCCGGTGTACGCACCAAGCTTACAAGATTTCCGGGAGGTGGTGGAAGCAAACGGGTCGTTTAGCATTAAGAAGCTAGAGGTGTTCCAAGGTGGGAGCCCGTTGGTGGTGAACCGGCCAGATGATGCAGCCGAGGTCGGTCGGGCTCTAGCCAACAGCTGCCGAAGTGTGAGCGGGGTGCTCGTGGATGCGCATATCGGAGATAAGCTCGGTGACGAGCTATTTTTGCGAGTCGCAAACCGGGCCACAAAGAAAGCTGAAGAGATGCTGGAAAAGCTTCAGTTCTTCCATATTGTAGCATCCCTTTCTCTTAAATAAATAAATAAATTAATTAACTAATTAATTAATTAATTAATAGATTTATATAATTTTGTATAACGTAGGAGAAGCTAAGAAAGGTTAAATTTTGTGGGTTTTTCATGTTTATTGATTTGCTTTTTTTTTTGTGTTTTTTCTGTGATATAAAAACAATTAAAAATTGCAATCAATTGTTATTGAGTATATATTATGTTTGTTTGTATTTGAATATGTTGGTCTTTATCATTAAGCTGTTTTGTTACTTTTTCATTAAGTCAGGAACAAATAAAGTTGTCTGTGTGGATTAATCTGTTTGTTGCAGTGTGCAGAATATCATCTGAATATAATCTAAACTGACTGATTCAATTAAAACCGACCGACCAAAATCGGATATCTAATTGTAATTGGGTCGGATCTAAAATTTCAACATCCAAATCGGATATGTCCAATAAAACCGAACCGATTGAATCCGATGACCATCCAGTAACTGTCCAATTAATAACTATATATTATTATTAATATACTACGATATTGTTTTTTAATAACTCAAGAAAATATATGAATAATTGGTCGAGTATTGGATCAAAAGATTGGACGAATCCAATCCGATCTAATCCAATGGATAAACGAATAGGAACATCTAATGAATGAAATTGATCCGACGCAAATCCAATATGTTCAATGTTAATCGAATCGGATTGGATGACAAAATCCAACATCCAACATCCAATGGATGCTTGGATCGGATCGGATCGGATCCACCTAAATCTATTGGATTTCAACCGATGAATACTTCTATTTGTTTTTATAGATTGAGAGTTTTTGCTTCAGAGAGTTTTTTCATAGATGGAAATAACGTGGTTTTTAGTATGTTTGGATAAAACTTGACTTTATGCATACAGTTTTTCCCTAGAAGCATATTGAATAAGTCGTTTTCTATATCATTAAACCACTGTCAAATAGTCATGTAAACTGACGGAATAAGTTGTGAGTTCTATTATGTTCATTAAGCTACTGACAAACAACCCTAAGTTATGTATAGATAAAGTTCTCTATAAATTAATTTGTTTGTATAGATCATGAAAGTTTATGTATGTGAGGTTTTCAAAGATAGAAGGAATGTGTTTTTTTTTTTTTAATACGGAGAGGTAGGAAGGGGGTGGCTGCATTAATGACATAAACAAGAATAAGACACGTAATACAACAAAATAGGAAAAAGACAAAATAAAATGACCAAAATACCCCTTAAAACGAAAACCAAATAGACGAAAAACAACTATGAAGGCCAGCAATGAAACCAAATAGACAAAAACCATAATCATGAAAACTGTGGCCGAAAACCTGCGAGAACCAAATAAACGGAAACCGTAATTATGAAGACCAGGGGCGAAAGCCAAATAGACGTAAAACATAATTTACTCGAAGATAAATTAGCAAAAGTGGTTAGATAAGGTAACTAACGGATACCGATACAACGAACATGAACGTTCAAACGTGATACATCTCTCTAACGCAGTAGGCGTCTAAGCTCTCATTATAATAACACCAAATCCTACAATATTTCACTCTTATTTCGATCGCTCTAATCAGTCTAATTAAGGTGTGCTGGGAGCCGGCTCGGTGCCAGATATGTGTGAGCCTGCATCCTCTTTCGATATGGCCGCATAGTTCAATGCACCAAGTGGCTTTGTGTGCTCCCTCTTCCCATCTTTGTTCACTGACCTCCCTCCATTTTGATTCAGAGACAGCCGTCTGGTTGGAGTTCCGTTCGCACGTGGGCCCACCACCTTTTTTGTACTACTAACGGGCCTAGCCGGGCTTGATCTTGAACCAAATACGGGTTCTTGCTCGGTATTTGGTTGTTCAAGGAATTTCTTCTGATCCTGTCAAAAATTCCAAAATTACAACTTGTTTCAACTTTCAAACCAAACAAGCCCAAAATATCCCGGCCGGAGGTAGAGTAGGGTATTGGGGGGAGGGGGAGGGATGTACGCAGACCTGACTTCGGGTCTGTTTGTTAGCAGCTTAATGAGTTTAATGGGACTCACAGCTTATTCAATCAACTATATGTAATTGTTTGGTAGTGGCTTAATGATATAGAAAGTGGCTTGTTCAGTAAGCTTCTTGGGAAAGCTTTATGCAGAAAGCAAGTCTTTTCTAGACCAATTTAAAACACATTCCTCCCATCTATGAAAAAGTCCTCCCAAACAGAAACTTCCCCAAACTATATAGACAAATTAATCCATATAGGACTTGATGGAAAACCAACCAAACAACCTCTTCTACAAAGTTCAGTGGCTGTTTCCATGAAGATTGGTTTCAAATAAGAAAAGAGTGAATAGCAATTTCCATGACTGACCTTCAGTCTTCGTTTCTCTTCTTCCCTGTCATGCCTGAGCAATGCATATTCGTCTAGCATGGCGAGTAATGGAACCCCATCATACATGAAAGTGAGTCCATGGTCGTCTTCCCAAGCCCGAGTCTTGGCAACCAAGGTGTCAACGAGAGCTGCATCATATACATGCAATAAATGGCTGTTAGATTGTAAAAATCGCCTGCCAAAATTTGTTCACTTTCTTCATAAACACCAAGAAATCCATCTGCTAAGGTGCTGGCTAAAGAGGGGGCAAAAACAAAAGCCCCTAGAACACCTAGATTACTCTCCAAAAGAGTCCTCGAGGAGAAAAGAGAGGCTTCCAACATATATTGAGGAGAAATGGTCCAAGTTCAGCCGATGTGGGACTTTAACATGCCCACTCCAATGGAGGCTAGACGGGCATAGATAGTCCCATTGTAGCGAGAGGGGGCTAGACGAGTACAGATTTCCCATGAGTGGTAGAGCCCGACTCTAATACCATATGAGAATACATTGGAAACCCCAGATATGAGCTTAATGAGACTCACAACTTATTCAATCAGCTGTTTAGTAGTGACTTAATGATATAGAAAGTGGCTTATTTAGTAACATTCTAGGGAGGAGCTTTATGCAAAAAGCCAAGTTCTTCCAAACCTACCCCTCCCAATTAAAAAATGCCCTCCAAAACAAAAGCCTTCTCAATCTATAATGAATTATTAATCCACATAGACAGTTTTATCCATATAGGACTTAATGAAAAACCAACCAACCAACCAGCCCCGGAGTGCCAATTGATGTCAATCGATACATAGAAATCTCCAAAACATTTTCAAAAAGTGGCAAGAATCTAAAGGGTTCAGAATTACGATTAAATTAATCAACACCAGGCCAAGAACAAGTAGGGAATTTGCCTCTTTAGATACCTGGAATTTTGTTCACCAAAATTCTGGCCTTTTCGGCTCGCTTAAGATTCAAATGTGCGCCTCTGCTTGCATTGTACCTGTTGTCATCCTGTCACCGAGAACCCAAAAGCAATTAAACCACGAACAAAATCAAATAATATAACTTGTTCAACATGGAAGAACGGAAGGAGAGACAGACCCTATTGTAATCCTCAAGCCAACTCTCTTCTTCACAAGCCGACATCCATTTTTCAACCTTATCCAAAATATCTTTTCTACTGAGAGCCTCTTCTCTCGCTTTTATGATCTGATTATCCATGTCAGCTAGCAACTCGGTAGGTTCCACATTCCCAGAATCAATCAGGGCCAAGATTTTCTCCCTGGCAGCCTGCATGTCGATCTCAATATGTGCACGTGCAAATATCTCTTCAAGCTCGCCTTGTCTCTTGAAAGCAATCTCTTTCATTCTGCTAGCTTTTAGCTGATCTAGCCGTTCCACTTCCACCTCGGCCTTGGAACACAAAGAAATAACGTATCAAGAAACTAAAAATGTGATTTTATACCATGTTCTTTTAGGAAGGAAACCTCAGGTACCTGCTCGATCAAATCGAGAGCAAGGGCCCCTGGGACGTTCACTTCATCAACTGAAGCCGATATATTACAAGTAACATGACTAAACAAGCCCTGTTCTTCTTCAGACGTATCCATCAAATTCCACAGATCAGTTAGCTGGGTTGCCAACTCTTGAAGCTGTAAAACCGGAAAAAAACATCAGCCATCTGTGGGAGCATTATCGGAATAGAGATTGGGGTGATTTTAGACAACAAGGCTTCTCAATAAATACAAGCAAGAGGCTACTGTAGTTCTTCAGGGTGCGTTTGGTACCCGGACAGAACAGGACTGGAAGGGCGAAAGTGAGATAGGCGGGTGAAAGAATTGTGAAAGGTTTTACGGTCTTAATTCGACATGGGTAGTTTGGTAATTTACCAATTTTGTCCCATCTCCTCGAGTTTTATTCTATCTATTTTGGTGGGACAAAGAAATTGCATTTTTGTCCCACCCAAGTCCCATCATGTCCCAGTCTAATGCCGCGCCAAACATGGGACAACAAGTTTTTGTATTGTCTTGTCTTGCATTCCAAACGCACCCTTGTACACTTGGAACTTTTCAGACATTGACACAGGGTTGAGATCACTATCAAGAAAGAATGCCATTTCAGAGAACAGAGTTTTATATGCCTTGATCGGCTAATATTTTTTCAAGATTATAAATAAACTAAAAGCAGGTTCGACTCTAATCAAATATTCTTCTTGTACAATACAAAAATGCGCAAAGAGACTAAATTCAGATAATCCAGCATTAGTGGTATGTTAAATTGAGCATTTTATCCCGGGACTTCTCTTAATAGCTATAAAGAGCTGTGAAATTGTGTACCTTCTGCAACCTTTGCTTCTTATCTTCTTTTAAAGCTACGACAGTCTTTGCCAACCTAGCTAGCGTGTCATTGCTTATGCTTTTAGATTCTACACCGGCTGCATCATTCAGACTCGGATGAACCTCTGTAACTGTACTATAAAAATCAATCCCAAGAACAGCACAAAGATCATGAACAGTGCTCACTAACTCAAGGACCTTGTGCAGTCTATCACTCTGCCAAATCAAACAAAGATCAACATCACCCATCTCATTTCATAGTCTCTCTAATCAATAACTTGCTTAGAGAATGAAATAAATCAATAATTTAACCTTTTCTTTCTGAAGTTCTTGTAGCTGATCATGGAATTCATCCAACTTCTTCAAGGATAAATCGGACTCATCAACAACTTGGTTTCCTAAACGATCACCGCTCCCTGCAATTTCTCCACATATCTTTTGTATCTGACTCTGTACATCTGAGAACTCCTTTATCCGTTCATCCTTCTGCTTCCATAGTTGTTCTAGAGCCGGTGCAATAGCAGCAAGTTGCTCCTTGATGGTTCCTGTGGTCTTCTCTGGCTGTATATCCAACCATAAGAAATAAGATAAGACCATCTCCAATGGGGTCACCAACTCTTTACACTATTTACTTACGGCTTAATGAGCTTAATAGTCCGGACGGCTTATTCACTCAGCCATACAGGAGTGTTTCTTCACGGCTTAATTGTTAAGCCATTAAGCCAAAATGGCTACATGTAGTAAGCCATGACCCCTCATGTGTCCCATTAAGCCACCATAAACAAATTAATACCAAAAATTCCCTAGAAACAATCCAACCCTCTCTCTTTGCAACAATACATTTTTATCCAGACAAACAACTTAACATATGGACTTAACCCATACATGGCTTGGGGGCCTATTTGTTAGCAGCTTAATGAGCTTAATAGGACTCGCAACTTATTCGGTCAACTATACACAACTGTTTAGTAGTGACTTGATGACATAAAAAGTGGCTTATTCAGCAAGCTTCTAGGGGAGCCGCTGAAAGCCAAGTTTTTTTCCAAACCTGCTCCTCCAAGCTAAACAAACAAGCTTTTTCCATCTATGAAAAAACCCTAGAAAACAAAAAACCTTCGCAATCTATACAAATTAATCCACACAGATAGCTTAATCCAGACAGGACTTAGTGGAAAACCAACCAAACAGCCCCTAAAGCTCACACTAATTCACTCCAATGGGCACACAGCACACTATTTTTCAAGTGAAATACATCTTCCCAGCTTCAGAAAAAGTTCCAAGAAAACAAAAATAGCAGATTACTTACAATCCCAACAAAAGATTTCTCCCCGAGAGATGCAAGCAGAGTGGAGAGTTCAAGATTAGCATCTGCAAGTGTCTGAAGAAGGTGTGATCTTGACTTTGTTGCTTGGTCCACTTTCCTCTTGTAAACATCCAAACACTCTTGCTCAATCTGAAGAAGCATCTTATCTCTTTCTTCATCGCTTTCACCAACCTCATCCCAAATTTTCTGCAAATAACACCCACAAGGTATCACTTCCACCATCAATTTAAAAACACAACAATTAAAAACGATGAATGTACTGGCAAATAACTAGGGTTTAAGGAATGTATTTCACTTGCAACTGATGCAGTAATGTTCCGCAAGTCGTTTCTCCAAGAAGCAGATTTTGAACATCCACCTCTGCCATCTGGAATTACCGCAAACTAGCCTGAAAATTGGTATTGAAAGAGAGATCTATCAAGTATGAAAATGTATAAAAAGCTAAGTTCGATTGATTGAGCAAAAACAGTAGGATACAATCGCCGAATACATATTCCAACAACCAGAAGATTAAGATCAAAGATCAAAAATCAAGATCTGAAAATGGAAATGTGGAGGAATGCAAGTGAAATGGGCAAAGAGTTGCTTACCGATGAAGAATGGAAGGAAGGTTAGGGTTTTGGGGGAATCTGAGTGTTGTTTCTGAAGTTAAACCATGACTTGTGTTTTCCAAGAGACAATGAAGTATGAAGTGTGTGTGGGGCCATCGTCAAAGATACAGTCGTATTTTTTAATCACATGTTAAATGACTAATTTACCCTCGACAAAATCTTGAAACCAGAGAGAGTTCTATCTTAAACATCGAGTAAATTACCTTTTTGTCCTTATGGTTTATTAGAAAGGTATTTATTAGGGGTGAGCATAGCCGAGTACCCACTCCTATTTGACAGGAATCGGAACCGGCAGTTCTTGCGATATTGGAACCGAAACCGGTTAGAACGGTTCTTGAACTTTTGGAATCGAAACCGGAACCGGTTCCAATTCCGGGTACCCGCTTTCTAAAATATTAAAATTTTGTTATTTAAAAATAAAAAATAAAACATTGGCAAAACACTAAATAAATAAACAAAAATACAAATTATACGGAATAATGGTTACAAATATTGTTTAACGATTACAAACCATAATAGACTAATTAGTAAATGTTGAAAGTTTAACGATTACATATTATAATTGTAAATGTTGAAAATTTAACAATTACATACTATAATTGTAAAGATTCAAAGTTTAACGATTACATACTACGAATTCAATCAAACACACAATTCAAAAAAAATGAATCATATTATCTCAAATTCTGAATTTAGAGTTTTAAGTTCTTGTCCTAATTTAAATTTAATATTAGAAAATTTAATTATTATTTTTTAATTGAACATGTCAAAGATGATTAGGAATTTGAGTTTTGAAGAATTTCGGAATTTTGTTGATTTAGAACACGTACACAATGGAAATGTGAGACTAACGAGGAACATGGATCCCTAACGAGGATACACATATCCTCCCCCCCCCCCCCCCCTTTTATATAAGCTATTTATTATATTATAAAGCATTTGATAAAAACTCTTAAAAACCTTTTTTTATGCATAAAGTATTGTTTATTGATGCATATTACTTAAAATTCAAGATTACAAGTAATTGTGCATAAGTACAACTTATTAAATCTCTATGTTTGAATTCGTGTAACTAACTGCGGATAAACATAATCAAATGGAGGATAAACATCTCATTTTCAAATCTAAAATATAATTAAGATAACTATTGAGTTCTAACAGAATACTTAATTATTATATTTATAAAAAAATATTATTAAACCTAAATTAAGTTACTTCTTTACGTTAAATTAAATTATAATAATAAATTTGAATTAAAAAAATACACAAACAAGTACTTTTAAATAGTTAATTTGATATTAATATTGATACACTTTTGCAAATTTTATATTATATTTTTAAATTTATATTATATTCAAAAATAAAAACATTATCGCTTTCTCAAAATCACATAAAATCGTATTATATCGACATGAATAAAAAAACGAAACATTGAAATGAAAATGTATCTTGATTCATTGCACGAGTACCCTTCTAGTTTAAATCAAGTATATGAGATACCATACATGTTTAAATCTCACATATTTATAATAAACCTAAAATCAAATGGAATTTAATTTAATAAAAAAAACTTATGTCATATAATAATTAATAACTTAAAATCAAAAGAGATTAAATTTAATCCAAAAAACTTATCAATTAATATCCAAAACATATCAAAATAATTGTATTTTTGACTTAACATCCAAAAAGATAACAATTTTAGATTCTAAACCTACTTAGAAAATTATGAATTACCAATTTAGTTGAAATAAATAATATATTTTTAATTTATTAATTAATATATAATAGGGATAGGACGAAAAGTGTAATACCCGTCCCCTATCTTATCCTCGGTTAAAGACAAACGGGGATCTCCGTCCACGTCCCCGGTTTACAAGGAATCGACGTTCTTGACCGGGGGCGGGCGACGAATCGGGACCTATTCCCCGCCTAACACAAAACAGTTAATTAATTTTTAATTTAGCATAAAATAACCAAAGAATTTGCAAAATGGGTTTGTAAACCCACTTTATTTTGAGATTTCCCTTTTTAAGCTTTTCCGTACGCATTTTTTTTTTGAGAGAATATATTTGTGGACCCCACCACTTTGGCTTACCAATTGGTATCGAAAAAAACGTTGCACATTTTTATTTTACGAAAACACGAGAACATCTTTATTACATGTATTAATATACGTGAGGGGACTTGATAATATGTAGACGACTTGACCCGTGACCCAAATCGTGTCAAAGGTATCAGATGTGATGGATTATGGTATTATATCGAGAACACTCTTATCACATGTGATAATACACATGAGACCCCCTAGTGGTGTGTGGGTGACTTGGTTTGTAACCTAGGTCGTGTCAAAGGTCGTTTGCGTATCTGATTTAGTATCACATGTGTATTATATGTGAAGAACTATAACATCACATGTGATGGACTATAGTAAAAGGTGTTTTTGTGTTCCCGCAAAATGAAGGTTTTTTTGTTTGATATAAACAAGTAAATGTTGGTTAGTTCGTAATAAGACAACTTCGAATCTGGTTACTATGGGTAGTATTTGGTGTACGGAGTACCTGGGAGGCTGGGACGAGACTAGACAAAATCGGATTCGAATGACTAATATAACTAGAACATACTTATGGCACGTAACTCAGTTGACAAAGGTCTCGGTTTTATCTTGGCCCCCGCTGGCCTCAGCCGTCGAATGAGGCAAAAATGTCCTTTACATTTCTATTTCTAAAGGCAGGTTTTATGTAGGATCGGTTGGCTTTGTAAGTAATTAACTTTTTGTCAAAATACAATTAAAATTTAAGAGCATCTTCAACATATATGATATATTTTTTTTCTCATTTCTTTCAAATTTATAGATTTCTCTTTCTCTTCCTTATTTTTATCAGAAAAATTTAACATAGCTGTTAAAGATGATTAAATTATAGATGTTAGAGATGATGATATTATAATCCAACAAGAGTTAAAATGATGACATTGCCTAAAAGTTTAGCTTAAAATAAAGACAAATTGTATGAAAAAGTAACATAATTTAACTTGATTCTTATTTTGGGCAAATTTTTATTTGGTACCTAAGATGTAAAATTTTAAACATTTAAGTACCCGAATAACTGATTGAAGACTAATTTTTGATTAAAAAAAGACTAATTTTTGATTAAAAAAAGACTAATTTCAGATTTAAAAAATCCATATTATTAACCACGTCAACAAATAATACTGAGTTGGATACCACATTATTATCAACATGATAACTAGTTAATGCTTCAACCAGTTAAAACTTTACATGTTAGGTATCAAAATAATAGTTATAAAAATACATTACTCAAAATAAGAATCAAATTACTTAATTTTTCATTCAATCTTCCTTAGAATAAACAGAGTTCGCATTGAATTAAAGAAGAGTAGGTAACAAGAGAAGGAATCTCCAGCCGGAATTTTCACCGCCGGAAAAGCCAAAATACATCCAGCGTCCGCCGGTGAACAGGACGCATTAAACATATGGAAGGGGTTGGATCGCGGCTTAGCCGAGCATCTTCCCACTACGGCTCGACGCCAATGCTCACCGGGCCCGAGAGGAGATGGCACAAACAGTGGGTCCAAGTGTCATCGTCTTACAACTGCACTACCAATTTCAATTCCCGAGGATCCCAAAACAATCTGTGTGATATACGTCTCCGGCGTTGGACTCATGTTCCGCCTTCCCATTCCACGACGGATGAGAGGCCAAGGCGGAAGCTGCCGTATACTCCGGTAGTTTGTGTTGTAGGCACTAACCGGGCAAGTTTACCATGTAAGATTCGCGATCCATGCCATGGTGAGTGACACCTGGTGAGCGTATGGTAGTTGAACAGAAACTTTAGGGGGGTTATTTTGGCAATTGTTGAATGGTTTGGTGCAGTGTAAAATGAAATATAATTGTTTGGTAATAGTTTAGAATGAAATTAAGACGCTGAATGCTTGAGGGAGGCCCATGATACAAAATCATTCAGAGGGTCTGAGAACCATTAAAAGACATTTTTTTTTGCCAAACAAGATTCACCTCTTAACAATTCAGATGTTGCATTTTTAATGGAACTATTAAGATATAAACAAAAAAACCCCTAATATATGTGTTGTTGCTAACTCCGACATCTTTTGGCCAATGGTCTAGAAACCTGTAGAAATCCATACCTTCATCCCAATAGAGGATTTGGTGTGTATTGGTTTACAGCCAACAATTTAGGGTTTAGGGTTTGGTTGAAGAAATTTTTAAGGGGACATTGACAATTTTGATGCCAAACTGCAATCTTTATGTACTCAGTTTGTGAAAATGCTGATAAAACTTCCAACTTGGTTGTTGTTTCAATGGTGAAGTTTTGATTCCTCTATAGAACATATGTTGGTTGGCTTCAATTTCGAACCTTTCGTGCTTTGATGAGAAGAAAGGCAAAGATGCCTTCTGCATTTCAGGTTCGCAGGAAAACCACAAAAAGTTGGAAAACTAAGAAACACTCCAACCATTGTTCATTTTTCTGGTATGCATATGTGCATAGAATTAATCGAAAACGTTTCCTACTTTCTATGAATGTATGCATTTTATGCACATGTGCATGACGGATAAATTACCTTTATGAATGGTTATTAGGGTGTTTTCAACCCAACCCAACCCAACCTTGTCTTTAAATCTGATATCCATTGACTACCAACAGCACTTCATGTGATCTGCAAACTAAGTTTGGCAAGAACAAGTTGCAGATTGTCGTGCTGGAAGAGAATAAAAACAAGGCTGAAAAGACTAACCTTGAGGTTAATGCTAGCAAGATACAATACCATATCTAGTATGCCAGCCTCAAGCATCGATAGTTGTTATCATGCTATCTTTTTGTCTGCAAGCACTTGCCACTTTGACAACTCGAGTTCTATAATCTGATCATCAAAGCAATGGTTTAGGAAGAAAAGTCAACTGTTTTTTGCTCTTCTACTGCAGGGGTCAGACAAGTGTGAAGCAACTATACGAGACTTGAACTTGAAAGATTATGATGTGGACCATGGTTCAGATAGAAGTATCAAAGAGGTCGATGGGTAAAGGCTGCACGAACTGGTTTTGCACGCTTAACGCATTAACAAGCTTATCATGGAGCCTCGACTTGTAGCATCAGGTTGATTCTAAGTGCAATTGTGTTTCCATCTTTGTGCGTTCTTAACCTTAGCAGTAAATAAAATGATTCTACCATAGGGTCATTGGACCAGCAGTACCTGGGTTTATTTAGGTAGCTTTTTGGTACACAGGCATGATTGGACTGGACAAGTTGTCTGTCTGGTGTTTGTCCCACCCAGTCTTGGTCCTTGTCCCATGTCGCTTCAAACGTGGGACGGTGAGTTTTTGTCCTGTCCCATTTTGCGGCAAATGTGGGACATTGAGTTTTTATGTCATGTCCATGTAAGTATTTGCCGTATATAATTAATGTATACTTAAGACAAGATTCAGCCATCAGCAGAAACAACGTGTGAAATCAAATTCGTTTATTTTCCTTCTTTCTGGCCAGATTTGGTAGTGGTGATTGGTGATCTAGACCAGAGCACCCAATAGATCTATGGAGAAAGGGAGATCCATGGCGCTCCAAGAAGCTCGATATAAACATGCCAAGTTATTACAAATTGTTAGAATAACAAAGCATATCAAACTACACATATCAATGACAAAAGGACATTTTTTCCTCTTCGGGAAGATGAGACAAGATAGGTAAATTAGTAAACTACTCATATGAAACTAAACCCTAAAGTCTTCCACAGTTATTTAAACCACCTACCTCACTCTCGCCCATCCTGTTCGGTCTCATGCACATACCAAACATCCCGACCCATATTCAACATGTCCACGAATCCCTGGGAATTACAACCACAAGGGTTGTGGCGTAGTGGTTGAGGTCCTGAGAGATATGGTGGAATATCTCATCTGCCCAGGGTTCGATTCGAGGCATACGCAACAATTGTGACCAGTGGGTTTATAAGGGCTAATTTCTTGCAGTCACAATCTTGCAGTCACAATTTGCCGGGATTAGTCCAGACATCGCCTGGGACATCCTTCCATAAAAAACCCTCTTGGAATTACCATCTATCATCATATCTTTCTTTCACATATCCAACACTATTCATATAGAATCTAATCTCGAGACATGGTTCTTAGGCGATTGATAGTAAATGTAACTCGCTCTTTAAACAACTATTCACAGTTCAAACCATAAAAACACACAATTTGAACCAAATATTTGTGTAGGACTTTTTTATTTAACAACCCAAACTAGAAATGGGACTATGTTTCAATTGATGAAATAATAATTCAACTGTAACAAAAATATATGTACATATCTATTATATGTACAAAACTTGGAAGGACATCAACCTTCCAACAAACTGCAAAACACTATGCTGCTCATCTATTTTGAGTCTAGGGAACCCCTAAACAATTGGTCAAGGGAGGCAATTGCTTCTACTACTCCTCACAATGATCATATTTACTATTCGACACCCCTCGATAAGAAGAAGAAAAAGAAAAAGAGACGATGACTATGGTCCAACTCCTCGCTGCAAGTTATCTCAAAGCATGCAGATGGGCAATATATACAATGAATGGTTGATTGGGGTTTTTGTCTTTTAAAACTACTGCTAACCTCTTTAATCGTATGGATTTCTGAAGGTCTTCAAAAGTTTTGGGATATCATAAGCCAGCATGTCATCAACACCTTGTATCATTTTGGGCTTCAATCTTTCAAATTTGTCTATGTTGTAACCAGCCAAAGCCATTCTGAAGTTTTCAACATTGGGGAAATCTCCCGCAGGTAAATGATGATCCTTTTGAATCTGGTTACCAAATGTCGTAGGCACGAAATCACAAAAAAAATTAAAAAGAAATTGTAATTTCCAAAAGGTAAGAGCGAAAGGGAACCTTTTCAAAGACTGACTCAAGATTATCAATGAGCCTCTGCTGAGCCTTAGCCTTGCCTATCCAGCTTGGCATCTCCTTCTTAAGCTGGTTCATGATGTAAGCATGAATCTTGGCAGACCTAGCCCGTTTCACAAACTCGTTGATCTGTTCAGAAGAGTAATAGACGGTTTTCAATAACATATACGATCTCCAATCAAACTTGTAAAATATGCAAGAAATTAACTCACTCTACGATCACAAGCCTTCTTGGGTATGTCTTTTAAGTCATTTAGAAGGTCATCCTGCTCTTTTTCAAACAATGCTGCCCCCAATGGCCCATCATCCGACGCGTTTATAGGTTTGTCATTGAAAGAACTGACCACATGTGAACAAATCGACATAACTTTATAGAAATATATAGGAAGGACACACAAACACAAAGAGAGCATACCCGATGTAAACACGCATAACTTCTGGAGTGTTTAGGACTTTACCAAGGGACCACATTAATGCTCCATAAACCCTCATTAGCTACAACACAAAAAGAATTTATATCCAATATAAATGACTCACCTGCTCAGAACAAACCATGGTTAAGCCTGGTTTTTTTTTTGAGAGGGGAGTTTTTCTTACTTGTTGGGTATCAACTTGATCAGCCTTGTTCAAGACCACGCGAATCTTGTCATCATGTCCTCGTAGGGATGATATGACACGTTTGAACTCATCGCTTATATCAAGTTTATGAGGATCAAAGAGAAGCAAGATGAGATCGCACTTTCCAGCAAACCAAGACGTCACACCAGTAAAGTCATAGCTTCTTTGTGTTCTTTGCTTTTCTCCAGATAGAACTCCAGGAGTGTCGATAAATGTAATATGCTCCAGCAGCTTTTTTAGTCAAACAACACAAATTATGTTTGGTTTTATGGAAATAACAAAATTATCAAACTCACATAACCTTTGCATACTTCAACAATGATAACTCACAGGATGAGGCATTTGAGAACACTGGAATTTTGACAAGAATGCACTTCCAAAAGTAGTTAGGCCATTAAATGGCATGTCTGCTTGAACAGCAACAGTATTCCCTGGAACACTTCTCTCATCGGGTCCATTCTGCGCAAAGCAAAAGAAAGGTTTTACATTTGCATAAAATGGTTTAGGACCAAATTCTTCAATATGCAAATATGATGTATCAAAAAGGTTCATGCCATGAAAGTAATATGTCTGATCTAGGACATACCATGACAGCAACAAATCTATCTGTAGTAGGCTCGGGTCCAATATGAGCTCCTGTTTAAAGAAATACAAAAGTGAAGAGTGTGTGTGAGTATTTGCTCTATATAAATATTATATACTTAAAAGAATACAATAATAAGAAAAAAAATGTGTGAGGGATAGAGTTGCAATATTACGGGAGTAAGAACTTGCCTGGATAACCACTTTTAAGCAAATGCTTGATGAATGTTGTTTTCCCTGTTGAGTATTGACCCAAAAGCATCACCATGGGCTTGGCATCAAAATCACTGTTGGTCTGAAGCAAATAGAGAGAAAAAAAGCTTATAATTTAAATAATGCTTTGTAGATTATATGAAACACACAAATTACTCACCAACTGGGGAGACACAAATTCATGAAACCGATGCATAGTTTCTAAAGGTTTCAGCTTCTGAATATATAGCTTCTTCAGGCCATCAACGATTGATGTAACAGATTTTAAGGGAATCTAAGCATACACAGAGAATACAGGATGAAAACATAGACAACCAAGGATAAAGTATAAACAACCTTCTTTACAGATTTTGTAAGGAACATTAATCATACCTTCTTTGCAGATTTTGAAGAAGATGAAATCTCAATCTGAGAAGTACCTAAAACAATGTTAAAAGTGAGCATCAAACAAAATTTGACTTGCTTTTCTCCTGAAGCATATTTAAAAGTAGATTATTTATCATTACTATTCATTTCAGGATCATATGACTTGGAATGTTTCTTTGTCTTCTGCAAAATATGGATAAACAAGTTAATGTTGTCAAGGAAAATGTGAAAGCTGTAGGCTCGTAATAGCTCTGCTTCATCTCTTATCCGCTAAAATGAAAGGAGGCATACGTACAGATAGTAGAACATCCAGACCATCCATTGCTGGCGGTTTTAGTTCTTCGATATTAACTGCACCGTAAAATATTTTTCACCCAAGAAATGCAATCAATCACATGAATGTTAGACAAAAACATGGTTGCACAAAATGCAATATACTATAACATGGAAAAGCTGCGACTGTACGACTTACTATCTGAGTTCAAGAATTCAACACTCAATGTATGTCCCGCTTGTGCCAAGGAAATCAACTAAATTAACAAAGTAAAAATGATGAGCTTAGAAAACTGGCTGATGCAACAAAAGAAGATGGCATGAAAATAAACCACCTGCATTGCCATAACGAACTCTTTAAAGGCTAGAAACCCTTGTCTTTTGGAATCCGCAATCGCCCACACCTTAAGAAGTTGAATATCAGGAAAGGACAAGAGAGTGAAATAGATCAGAAGCAGAGCAGCAATAAATTTAACTATGATAGAAGTAAAAGGAAATGGGCATGAAGAATCATGCATCCTCCCAATTTTAAAGACAACATAACCACAAGCTTGAACTGTCGCTATAAACTTGTCAAGGATGCTTGCTTAACATTGATCATAAATACAATTGCAATTATGCACAAAACTCTTGAGCAACTTTCTTGCATACCAATTCCTTAACTAATAATCTGATTTGCAGTCAAACAGTCAAAATGCAATGGTGAGTTCTCTCTGTTCATTTTAGCAACAAAGATGCAAACAAGCCAGCTCAAAGACTGGCTTCTTTTGGTTGACATGCAACGCAAGCAAGATAAGGTGTTACCAACTTTGAAGTATGGTCTTCCCTGGCATTTGATTAGTTCAGCAAGAAGGGTTGATCTCACTTAAGATAAATATCAATTAGTTTCAACATATAATCATTGGTAACCTCATTCGTTTGTGTTGGAACCCCAAATACTTAATAACAAGCATCACTGCTGGTGCATCAAAACCTAGAATACATACCCTTATGCCCTACACATTTACTCTCCTAAAAAAGAGAGGCAACGTCCAAGGGTCATACTATCAAGAGCGATTGCTCCAATAGAGTAAAGATCATTCGTTTGTTCAACATATTCGATCAATTTTGAGTTGGAGCCCAAGGGTTTTAGTAGAGATCAAATTGTATGTGAATGCAAGGCGGCAGCAAAGTAAGAAGAAGATGAAAGCGAAATGACATTTTGTTTGGACAATTTAGGGCGAAACCTGCTTGAGATCTTGCCGAGATAAATTGGACATGGCGAAGAACTTCGTGGCATCAGCACCGGTAATACGTCCATCGCCATCTAGAATCATTGAAAACCAAAATATATACAATACGATTGATGGAAATAAGAGAACGAGAAAGAGAAAGTAAATGAAAACCTGAGTCAGCGCAAGCGAACCACTCTAGATAGATTTTCTGATGTTCTTTAGAACACCGATTGATCGGAGCCGAAGCGATAATATCCATATTTAATCGAAAATCTGAAATAAGAATTCCAGATTTTCGAAGGCTCCAAATCACGGTGTGTGTTTGTTCTTAGGGTGTCTTTGTTGAAGTTTAGAATCAGAAAATACTATCAATACCTCCTTCTACCTGGTTGCCGTCGACGTTAAGAAGCTCGACGATGATGGTTTGCCGTTCTCCGTCTCCGTCGGAGAAGCCGGACCTCACAGATTTTGAGTAATCTTTGTTAAATTTCTTCACCCCATAGAAAACGGTTATGTACGGAATGGAGGTGGACCCAATAAACTACTTTTTTGAAGATTAATTTACATATTTCGTCCCTGAGGTTTTGTGAAAATTACGGATTGATCCCTACATTTCAATTTATTACCGTAGTGGTTATTATTACTATGTTCGGCAAACTGTTTGCAACTGTAAGCTAGCTTATGAATAAAACTGGCTTATAATCATGTAAAATGATAAACAAAAAAGACATCATAAAAACTTAGTCAATTATCTATATTATCTTATAAAGCAAATTTAGCAAAAGTCTTAAAATCTTAAAATACTAAATGACCAAGATACCTTTTATACATTTTTTCACCCCTTCCTCTCCTCACATGCACTCACCTCTCACATATACTCACCCTCTCACAACTGATTTTTTTAAAATTATAATTTTAAATTTACACTTTATACTCCTATAATTAGTTAATTAATTTACTTTACGTCCTTTACTTTTAAATATTTCATTTTAAACCTTTGTCGAATTGATATACATAATCGTATATCAATTAAAATATGTTTAAAAAAATACATTTTTATTTTAACAAGTTACACCATTATAATTGTCTCTTTAATACCTTCGAAATGAGTCCAATATTGAATAGTTTTTGACTTAATTATATTATTATATATTATATATACTGTGAAAAAATATTTTTAATATTTACGATTTATACTTTTATAGTTATATATATATATATATATATACTATATATTTTGGGGTTAGACTGTCCAAATTGCACTATATAATATGTTCTGAATTAATATGTTTTTGGGTTTTTTTGAAATATATATATATATATATATATATATATATATATATTAATTCAACATTAATCTGAGTTTTTGGACAAGAAAGAGGGTAAACAGTTGAAATTTCATTCTAAAACTCATATTTTTTGATCTTTTCATGGCTTATGATCTGTTAAATTTGTAGTTTTCTTTATTGGGTTTGAATGTTTATCTTAAAACTCAAATTTTTTGGTTCTTTGCTCATGGTGTAATCGAACACATTTATGGAGTCGTTTAAATATATTGGATTTTAAACTGTCATACAATTTTTTTCATCGATAGTTTGTAATTTGAACCATAACTCTTATTTATTCAAATTGTATTAATATGTAAAGACCAAGTGTAACATATATCATCGTTAAATCATATCTTATAAAACCAGTGGAACTTCAAAATCGTTAAAATTCATGGCTCCCGCCGCATTGCGCGGGTACACAAATAGTAATATTTTAAGGAAATTCCTTGATCTAAGAATTACGTCGTCCCCGGTCTCTTGGGCCTGGGGTAAGCCTGAAATATGTGAGAGTATGTAAGTTGATTCATCCCATACCGAGCGATGATCTTGATTCACTATTTCCATTTTTATTTTTAGAGAAAGAAGAGAGCTAGCATAAGCAGAGCAACCTCTCACGTTTCATTGAGATTGCTGCTTATAAATCAGGACAAGGACTATAATTGTAACAGACTGACTCGTATGGAATCAGTTCTAGTAAGTAGAAAACTCGTCATCCATTCATTCATGAACTGTCTTCAAACCTTCGCTCCAATACTTTCGAACAACTCTCAAGTTCAGTTTTCACTACAAAGTGCTGGAAAGCATCTGGGATTTCTAGCGACTGACTTCGGCGGTTCGGGTTTTCGGTCGGTTCCCGTTCACTTTTGAAGAAACTGATGAGCTAGATACGGCGCTTTCAAAATCCCAGGGTAGATCTAAAAAAAGAACATAGCATTCGTATGAGTTTCACTCGGGCAAGACTCCCAGAGGGCGAGAAAAAGAAAACAGTTCTTATTCATGAGCTGGATGATTGCCTCCACAGAATGCTGGAGGAAGCTCTCCCTTTGACTCAGGGGGCCTTCTACCACTAGCCCGGATTCTGACTGAGAGGTGTGAGAGAAGGGCAACCAGCTCGACCGATGGGAGCCAACAGACATATAAAAACTGGTGCTCCTGTTGCTGCAGAGCCTCTGTGCTATTGGTTTACAAGCTTAGTTGAGTAAATTAGCAGGTAGGACGGACTACTCAATTAAAATGGCTCTCATTGACACTATCTTCTAGATGATAAAATTAAAACAAATTTTTAATAATATAATATATTAATTAATACAAACAAGATAGTAAAAAAAACTAATAATATATTAATTAAAAAATTAAATTCATTATATATATATATAT